TCTGTCTTCTCTTGAGTTTATTTACTAGCATTTCGAGTTTTTCCTGCTTATTCCCCATATTTCTCGCATTAGTATACAGGCATCTAAGATACTGATTTGATTCCCCCCCTACCTCCAGTTCTGTCTTGTCTCTCCCTTATCCCTGCTATAACAGCCCATGCTCCCCCCAAATTTCGACCCTTCTCCCTGGTCTCCATGTTTTTGACTTACCTGTGGGCTTTGGTCACCTCCCCACCTGTATGGGACTGGGGCAAGGAGCTATACCACTGCTTTCTTCCTCTATCCGTTTTCAGAGTTTTGAGGAAGGTGAAGCAAGACAAAGCAGAGGTAATGCTGTCAAGCCTCTTGAAGGCCCATGCCCTTAGTTTTTTGAGCTGATGAGCCTGTCATTGGCCATTGCTTGACCTTCTGGACCTGTTGATCCAAGGCCCACAATCTTCCTCTTTCAGTGTGATTTGGAGAGATTGGAAATAAAGCAAAGCTGCTTCCAAGAAGAGGAAATCTGTTCTGAAATTGCAGTCTTTGTAACTAGCAACAGAGAGCCTACTCCTGTGAAATACGCATGAATTTGGAACCATTTTTTTGTTCAGTGGGGCAACAAGAATAATATCAATGCCTGCGCAAAACATATTAATGCCCTCTTTGTAGGGTTTCAAAAAGAGCTCAGTGTCTATAACCTAAGCTTCTGCTCTTCTGTCCTCTCTCTTATTGGAGTTCTTTCAGGAGCAGGGACACTAGTTCCCAGCTGATTTTTTTCAGTTTTGTTGGAGACGCCTGCATCATCCAGTGACTCCTCAGTGGGACCTGTCCTTCATTTTGCAGGTACTCATATGTTTGCATTTGAATCCCAGGAGGAAGTCTCCTTCCCCAGATGCTGCCCAAGCTATCCTTGTAAAGTGCTGCTTTTAATTGTCGTAATACTTTGTCATATGGCTGGGAGAATTTTAAGCTCCCTCATTTTCTCTCTCTCCTACACGTATGTTCACACCTTCAGTATTTTCCAGGTAAGATGTATTCGTTCTCCTGCCAGAATTCATCCTTGAGGGGGGACATGAATTCTGCTTCAGTTAACCTGTCCTGTTCACAACTTTATCCAAGCCCTGCTGCTCTCCAAAGTGGGAAACTTCAGTCCTGGTGTCAGAGGTGTGAAGTTCTACTGAATTCTTTCATAAGAGTTCAGAAAGTTTCAACAATTTTGTGTGCTTTTAAGACTGCTGCAAGGGTGTAAAAACTCACTTTAACCACCAGATAGGTAATGACCAGTTTCATTTGCTTATTAGCCAGCCAAGTGCTAGTGTACCAGTTTGGTCAAACATCACCTACTAAAGGTCTCACAGTAACTTCATGGGCTGAGGCCTCTTTGAAGAAATGTAAAGCCACATGGCAGTCTCCACACATGTTCATAAAACACTATCACCTAGGGCTGGTCTACACTGGGGGGGGAGGGGATCGATCCAAGATACGCAACTTCAGCTACGCGAATAGCTACGCGAATAGCGTAGCTGAAGTCAAAGTATCTTGGTTCGAATTACCTGGGGTCCAGACGGCGCGGGATCGACGGCCGCGGCTCCCCCGTCGACTGCGCTACCGCTGCTCGCTCTGGTGGAGTTCCGGAGTCGACAGTGAGCGCGTTCGGGGATCGATATATCGCGTCTTAACGAGACACGATATATCGATCCCGGATAAATCGATTGCTACCCGCCAATACGGCGGGTAGTGAAGACGTACCCCTAGACTGCCTGCACCTGAGTGTTCCTTCAGTTGTAGAGCTCTGCAATCAGCATGATAAGGTAGGCCCACCTCAGAGCACCACTTGGTGCATGCAGTGTATGTCTTTGACTGAATCCCTTGGAAGGATAGGAGAAGAGTGGTGTAGAACAAAAGAAATTTAGTCTCTGTAATTCCTTTTCTTAGTCTTCTCCCCTGTCATCCTTCATCCCACCCTCCTTTCCTCTGAGGAGAGGTGCCACCCTATATTCTTGTACCTTTTTCTAATTTCTTTAACTGTCTGTGATGTTCCCCTGGTGTTATCGACCGGTGATCTGCTAGGTCACTCCAATCCTCCAGTCTGGGAGCCAGCCTTACCCTGCTCTGCTGTGAGAACTCCCATTCCTGGGCTGTTCACGCACAGCCTTTGGCATGTAAGCTGCTTGGATTGTGCAACCAAATGACACTAGCCAACATCTCCGGTCCCAGACACAACCCTAGGAACCTCCGTCTTGCAGTGTCCAGTTATGCCCGCTGGACACTGCAAGTTTATATGAGTTTGTCAGTTTAACAAAGAAATTGATATGTACCAGGCTTGTTATCCCAAGAGGAGTCTCTGACACACTTCAAACCAAACACACTGCTTCAGGTAGAGTAAACGAACACATTTATAAAATCTATCTTTGTAGTTAAAGTGATTATAAGTCAAAGCACAAGAAGTCAGATTTGGTCAAATGAAGTAAAAGCAAAACACATTCTAAGCTGATCTTAACGCTTTCAGTGCTCTTACAAACTTAGATGCTTCTCACCACAAGCTGGCTGGTTGCCCTTCAGCCAGGCTCTCCCCTTTGATCAGCGTTTAAGTTGCTTGGTGGTGGTGTCTGTAGATGGAGGTGGAAGAGAGAGCCAGCATCGCAAACGTCTCTCCCTTTTATCATGTTCTTTCTTCCCTCTTGGCTTTGCACCCCCCACCCCCTTCAGAGTCAGGTGAGCATTATCTCATTATACTGACTCAGGGAAGGGGGGTGACTCACGCAAGAGACCAAGAGATCCTTTGTCACTGCCTAGGCCAGTGTCCTTTGTTCCTGTGTGGCTGGGCTGGGTTTGTCCCATACATGCCCTGATGAGATGTGAACTGCCCCTCTTCTCTTGGAGAGTTTTGCCTGGGCCTCTGCTCCTGGAGAGTTTTTGCCTGGGCTTGTTTTAAGCCATGAGGACACATTTTCAGCACACACAATCCTATTATAAGGATGAACATGGGGGTGCAGGGTGTTCCCCTGAGGTACAGAGTGTCACATTGTCCTCCCTCTCAGAGCCTCTCCTTCTGGGGGGAAGTGAAAGGACTGACCTCTGATATACAGGGCTTGGTTGACAGAGTCTTTGCCACCTTGTTTCCTTGTAGTCAAAGCCATAGCACTTTGTCCTTAACTGTTAGTTCCCGTTAGCCCTCTTTTTTTCCCTCCTACTGCTATGACAAAAAGGAATTATTAGGGAGTGATTTTCCTTTGTCTTATACATGTATGAATGACAGTTTCTTTAACTACACTAGGGTGGATCTATGGAAGTGTGCAGAGCACTAATGAAAGTGCGGGACACCTAAAAATTGCCCTTTCACACTTGTTTGGTAAAGTGCATTTTTTTTCCAAACTCTTCAATAAGTATAAAAGGAGCTGTCAAACTGTGAAACCACGTGCATAACTGAGGGCTTGTAAATATAGCTAGAACCTTGGAAGGTCTGTTCCTCTGTGGTCTCCATTGCAGCCTGTTGGGCCTTCACATTACTTTTGGATTATTAAATTGCAAAGAATTCTTGTACAGTAGCTTACCCCCTTTCACACTCTCAACAGATGAAGTCCCCTTGTGTAGACAACTCAAAGACTAAACAAAGAGGAAGAGGGTACTGGGTTTATTTCAGTTCTCCCTCTTTCCCTGCTCCCTTATTATATAAATAGAGTAAAATACCATAGATGTTGATATCATAACTAATAAAATTATCACAAGCAAAGTTTTTCAGCCTTGTTTTGACCATGTATTCCAAAGTAATGTCTGCCTGATCTTCTTACTAGTTGTCCATATGTATTTTGGGATAGCTTTTATCCACAGTGAGGTTCCTTCTTTTCCTTTTCTGATTATATAATGTAAATATATTTTAATTAAGGTAAACAGATACTCTTGTGCCAAATATAAGGTTCATGGCTCAGTGTGGGTTAGCACTGAAGCTGAGCAAATAGTGGAAGAGTTTTCAAGAGATACTCCGTAGCATTCAAAAGAATGTTTTATTTGATTTCATGTTCTTTCTGAGCAAGTTGAAGCACTCACGGTTTACTAATGTGAATACATATGGAAGCAAAATTTTAGCATGAATGCTCAAAAGGTCTAATTTCAAATTGTAATATTTGTAACATGCAGTTTGTACAGTCTTCGGACTATGCATTATTTGCTGATGATTTCTGTCTATGTTCTTGTATGGAGCTCATCATCTGGGGTCTGAACACCTAATTTTGAATAACAATTAAGAATTGTGGGATCTGCTCATGGACAAGAAAAATCATCAAATTGTTAGAAATTATTTAGCTGTACGTAGCATAAAATTCAGTTAGAACTAATGCTTTCAAGAGCAGTGAAGCATAAAATATGCTGTACAAAGAAACCGTTTTGCAGTATCATAGTATTGCACAACAGCATTGCCTGCCAGCATTTTTGCTTCTACTTTCAGGAGAATTAGTAGTGAAATGTAAATTTCTTTGATATTATGGGTTTCTGATGCTTATTAGCCATGTTCTAATCACCTACCTTCTTCCTCCCCCCGTTTTTCTTTGTACTTTCTTACAGATTTCAATCATATTTTCCTCTTTTGTGCAACACTAATCACATTGTAGACTTTTTATAAATAAAAAATTAATTTTTAAGAATATTTCAATTTGAATTCACACTATTGATCAGGAATGATGGCACATCAGTAGTGTTTTTAAAGTACAAAACTTATATAAAAATAGAATGAATTTCTTTAAAATGAACAGTAAACCAAAGGGGAAAAATTAAAAAAGTAAAAATATTCTGGTAAAAGTAATGTATCTGGTTAAGAGATCAGCTGTATAATATAATTCTTCATTTTACTGCTCTAAGAATTGTTGTGGAACAACTTATATATAAAAACAATTCTGTCATTGCCAGTTATTTCTTATTCTACATTTTCTGTGCTTGTTTTTTACTTGTCCTAGAAGGCCTGAAGAATAATATTCCAAGAAACAATGGAGTGTTAACATGTTGTTTTTTTCTCTCTAAAACCCAAGGTACAGGAACTCCATGAGGAAGAAGCTCAGTGGGTGAATTATGATGAGGATGAGCTCTGTGTGAAGATGCAATTGGCAGATGGGATCTTCGAGGCCTTAATCAGAGACACTATTAATGTTCTGAACCAGATAAATGAAAAACAAGGGAGACTACTGCTTTTGTGACATCCGTGATAATAAACCAGAAACTACGAAACTTCCTGTCATGGGCTTTCTGACTCCTGACATACTACATCTCCACCATAGCAATATTGCTGCTGGACTTACATACATGGTTTTAAAGGCAGTTCAGATGTGATAAAGGAACACAGTATTACATCCCGCTGCCTTTAGAGACCTTACACTGGATTTGTTGTTGTAAACAAGCATGGTCCTTCACTCGATGCTGGCTTGTGGTGTATTCACACCATCCTTTTGCTAATTCAGCACAGAGAATATATGTCAGCACCTCTCCATGGTCTCAGACTGGGACTATGAACTTCAGATTGTACTCTGAAAGTGGTTGGATGTGGTTGGGTTGAGATACTGGTCACTTGGCCCAAAATTGCTGTCAGCAATCTAAACTGAAGTGATCTTTAGAAAGGTGTATTGGGTGATTTTGATAACTGCTTGTCAGTTTTTAGCCATAAATGGACATTACAGCAATTAATAGTGTTCTATTATTAACCACTTTGTATCTGCAGACCTAACAATATGCATCAATGTTTCCACTCAAGAGTCTATTTCATTCCCTTGAAGTCCATTCCCATCTTTCTTCATGCGATGTGGTACCAGACATGATCGGTGGGCTAACAAAGGGGGAAATGGATGAGCTTACTTTTTTGCATTCATCTAAATAATTCTTACTTGTTTCCTGTCTAATTTGCTTCAGTCAAGAGTAAGAGCAAAGTAAAGGCCACCAAAAACTGGGCATAATAGACTAGACGTTTGTCAGCTTTACTCCTACCATGCAGCATTTCTTCATCTCCTGAATTACCAGCAGCTCTTAGATAAATGGATACTCAGGATTCTCTCAGGCAGTAGACATGCAGGAGTAGAAAATGTTTCTTCACAAAATTTTGGCCTTCAATAGCTCAGCTTCCTCCCTTGCTACCACCCAACCCTAATAAATCAGAGAAGCAGTTATTTGAACGATTAGGGAAATGAGTATTCGACAAAGAAAGTGATGTCCAGTGCTTGACTGTGTACTTGTTCTGTGGTTGTGGGATTTTTAACTTATTTTAAGATAATTTATTAAATTGAAGTTAAGGAAAGTGTCCAGTGCAGTGGTTGCACTGTCTTAGGTTTTGAAACAGCAGAACCTGTGAAAGGTACCTATGTAATACTGCATCTGTCCTGGAAACTTCTAGGGTCCATATTCTTAGCACAAAAATCCAGCTTCTTGAGATGGGGAGGGTGTCAAAAAGAAACAAACCTCAGTGGTCAAATGTGGGAAGGAAAGGGGGAAACTATATGAAAAGAACCTCACCTGGACAAATTTCAGTGATTGTGGAGTGTTTAAGGGAGTAATCTGAAGCCAAGATGTGAAAATATTTCCTGCTCCCTCATTACCTGGCTTCCTTCTCACGAATGTTCTTTTTCCAGAGCATTAGGCAGTAGGCAGCCACCCTGTTGTATTTTTGAAGCTGTGCCCTTCGTCTTGAGTGCTTTCTTAATCTGTCCTCCCTTTTTGTGTTTCTTGGATGAACACCGACAATCTGGGGTTGAGTATTAATGCCTTAATAACGGAAGTCCTGTTTACTAACATGGGATGAGACCCAAAGCAGATTCATGTTCTCCAGGCACGTTGGAGTATTGAAGTGCATGCAAAAGCATGTTAGGAGGCACCCAAAGATGCTGCAGCCCATGATATGCATGTGGGAAGATTTCTGCTCTTTTCCTTCCATCTGTTTTTGTTTTTTGGGTTTCCTACTGTGCATACGTGTGCTACTGCTCCGTTATGTTTCTCTCTCTTTCCATCTTTATTTTTGGGAAACTGTCATTGGAATATTTGCATTTTGCACAATGACACACAACTGGTAATTCTTTAAATCAGGGACAGCACTGAGAAATGTTGGCTTTTCAATCCAATCAAATTATCAGATGTAGTAGTGCCAGCACCTCATGTGTGAGTTATTAATGGTGAGCCATATCCATGAGAGCTTAATGAGCAAAGAACAAACAGGAGCAAATAGTGTCTTGGAACACCTCAGATAGAGCACACATATCAGTCTGTATGTGGAAGCGTTCTATCTAGCTGTCCAGAAGTCAGATGAGTTTCATGGGTGGCATGCATCTTTTTCATGAGTGATTCACTTGTCTGTAAATTAGCATTCTGATGCTGAACCTCAACATTGTCTTAAGCATTTGACAAAAACCAACTACAGCTGCTGTTTAACCAGCATGGTGTCACTAATCAGGTCACTGTCTGATTCCTTTTCCTGGGCCTATCTTCTTTTCAACAGAGAATATTGTTATTTTTATAAATAGTTATAGAAGAGGGTAGAGTACCAGCAGAAGGAGAGAAACCTGCACAGTAGATCTGTGGCATGGATATCATAGAAATAAGTTAGTTTCCATCGCTAGGAACCATGGCCATTGCTGAGATAGTAAGATGGCCTGCATCTCTGAGGCTTCCTGTTGGGATATAGAGTTTGTGCATGTGTGGTACTTGCACCACAGAGAGTGTATTGTACTGTCAATCTTTCAAGATGTGGAAGAAGATTGGAGATTACTTGTGCCCTTGTTGGCTTGAGTAAGCAAATGTCTAGGTATCAGCTGCAGAAACAATTGCTACCTCTCCAGCTCTTTGGTCAAAAAGAAACTGTAAAAGTAATGGTTTTGGAGAGATCACCATTTATTTTTGGTACCATTTCATAATGGGAGCAGCCTAAACTAAAACAACTATGGCTGTTAAATTACATTCTCAACACTTGATAATTGTTGAGGTACACTGGAGGCTAGGACTGATGATCATCGACACTTGGTGATGGTCCTTTCAGGTCAGGGTTTGTGATCAATTGTTGAAGCAGTATGGGGAAGCCTTGAGTTGAATAAAGAGAAGCTGAATTTTCTCTTCCACCTCCCCTCCCCCCTTTTATGTCAAGCCCAAGGTGTTCTGTCTGGGTCATGGTTGAATTATCTTGGTGCAACAGTGTTGGAAAATCTAAGGTTGAGGGAACATGGAAACTCCAGAATTTTTCTGAGTCCAACAATAGGGTGAGCCCTCTATGGCAGAGTCAGAAAGCGCTGGATAGAGTCGATATGAAGACCTATGTCCCTTTTCAGTCTAAGAGAAGGACTGTTAATGCAAGGTAGAACAGCCCAGGATTGTGTGAATATGGAGAGAGACCACTTCTCTCAGACTAGGATAATGCCTGAGCTACAGATCTGGGCTATTACTACTTTACCTTTCAGAAAAGGTTTTGTTGCTCATAAGGTTTCGTGGCCTGTTCGAAAAATCTATCTTGTTCACTTTCCTTTCTTGAAAAAGTGGCCTTAGCTTTTTGCAATACTTGAATAAATTGTGTATGTGCAAAAGATTTTCAGTAGCACAGCATTAGAGAGCATTTAAATAACTCTTCTGCAAAGAACTGAGTGTAGTTCAGACTTTCAGATCCCATTGCTACCTTAAGAATACTAGGAGAGTAACAGTTGAAACTTACAAGGTATTTAGTTCAAATTGTAGGAATTTTGAAGTGTTTACAAATCAGCTAAAATGGAGAAAAGCAAAATATCCAGAACATATTTGAAATATAAAAATTAAAAATGCAAAAATATATACAGATGAAAAAGGAGTACTGTAATTAACCTGCATTTAATAGGTTTTTTCCTTGACTTTGCAGAGCCTTTTTATATACATTTGCAAAGCCGCCTTGGGAGACCCTCTCTCCCTGTGTACTGTATTGTGCAGATATTAAAATAAATAAACCTGTTTACTGTGTTTGTGTAAATAACCCGTTAACCTGGTTTCCAGGCCAGTTTTCAGCCAATAATCGCATCCAGTGCAGCTTTGCACAGTAGAGTTAAGGATGTGGGGGTTTTTGTAATTATGAACTGTAAAATAACCAGGGTTGTCCCTGTGTACACCAATGTAAATATCTTTGTGAACTGAAATGTACTTTGAGGATTAAAACCTGTAAATAAACTGATTTATAAATTAATTCTTATTTCCTGCTTCTTTATAAAATGGAGTGTAATTACACAAATAGCTGATAATTCTGAAGGTGCCCGGTGGATTTGTTCTTGGTAACGTATTCCACCTTATCTCTGATGCTGCACTTCGGCTCCCAATTACAATCTGCTAAATCCCATTATAATTGCCTTAATTGTAATAATACCTTATAGCATGTCCTTGCATGTTGGTTAAAGCTGGCTGACTGTTGTGGCAAAAAATAGAAAAAATTGTTGCTTTGTTTTTCAAAAATACAAGTCACAATTTTTAGTTGGAAAGATAAAAATGAGTCATGGTAAACTTTTCAAAATGGACTTTAAAAATCTTCATTTTAAAATTATACTAAAAATGTGTTCTTTCCTTTCAAATAGGAAATATCAATAATATATTTAAGAAGTGGATAAAATTTTCCTAGAAATGATCCTAGATCTTGTTATATATTCCTAAATGAGATGGTTTTATGGGTCTGCTCTTGTCTTCTCTGAACCCATCTTTATATAGTAAAAACGAGTGTTCTCCAGAAGGTTGCTAGGAAGGCAGCACTGCATCCATTACACTTGGTTCATATTTGGAAGATTACCTTCATAATTGTAAGGGTTAGAAATGTAGTGATTTTAAAAATGAAAGCTAATGGAGCTCTGCAGAAGGCTATTGAGCAGCCATGACTTTTACTGTAAATTGCAGAAATCACAGGATTCATGACAGCCAGCCCTAGTCATTATTAAATGCAAAAAAACTAGCACTAATGCAGTATTAAGGTTGCAAGATCAAGCACTTTGGTCAAGATGTTCCTACAACTAGGGTTGCTGTTTAGCTATTTTAACTCCTCCACATTACACATCCTGTTTATTTTATGCTGTGCATTGATAGAGTAATAGGTTAGGGTTTCCATTTAATAAGGAAAAGAGGCATCATGAATACTACCTATATGAATCATGAGAGAGTTATTGTTGCCAGAGCAACCTTATCTTTTTGGAATTTCCTGGGAATTTGAGTGTTTGATTTCACAACTTTAATATTGCATTAATAGTAATAATACCAGTGCTTTTAGTAGATCTCAAAGCGCTTTACGAAGGTCAGCCTCTTTGTCCCTGTTTTACAGATGGGGAAACTGAGGCACGATGCATTTGTGCCATCTTCATGGGCACAAAGTGTATGCGTGTCGCAAGTGGGATCCACACAGCCAACCTATCTGGAAGAACCACAGCTACTGTAAGGTTAGTAACCTTTTGTTCTTTTTACAAATCAAGGCATCCAGTCTTCTGTGAGGACTTGATCCATGTCAGATTTCAAATTGGTTCTTTGTTCATGTGTGGTTGAAATTGTTTAAATAGAAAGTGAGCAGAGAATTAAGCACTTCATTCCCAATGAGGAATGTTTTGGAAAATTCTCTTAGCACGTAGGAACCAAGTTAGAATCAAGTCTTACAGTGATTGATTCACTCGGGCTTTTGGATTTGAGCAAGCCAGAGCACTGAGGTGGATTGCTGGTT